CAATGCTTGGTAAGAAATGTATGCATTATCCTGCCCATGTAATTGTAACCCCTCTGTACAGTATGTTCACAAATAAAATAAAATAAAATAAAAAACATTAAAGAGGTTGAGTTCCATTCCATCGTCCATTTGAAATGCAGTGGTTTAGTAGAGTCTGAGCCAAGTTTCAGTAGCTCATACCTATAATACTAGCTACTTAGAAAGCTGAGATCTGAGGGTCACAGTTTGAAACTAGCTTGGGCAGGAATCTGTGCAACTTGTATCTCTGATTAGTAACACAAAAGACAAAAGTGGATCTGTTGCTTAAGTGGTAGAGTGCTAGCTAGCCTTGAGCAAAAAAGCTGGGATAGTGACTGGGCTCTGAGCTCAAATCCCAGGACTGGCACCTAAACAACAACAACAAAACCCCCAAAGTCTGAAACACAAGAATAACAACGATAGTGCTGATATTTCTGAGCATACCTATGATGATGATAATGATGATGATGTTGATGATGGAGCTGAGAGTGAGAGGTAAAGTGTGGCCAGTGAACAATGAGTCCTCAAACCATAGCATTACTATAACAAAGTTCTTGAGCCTATGTTCATGGTCATAATTACTCAAAACTGGCCAGATTGTATTTACTCCAGTTAAAGCCTGGGAAAGCATTGTGCCCCCTTTAGTAAGGTGTATACAGTATCTCATCCTGCTCTCCATGCCCCTGTTAACATTTGGAATCACACTGTTTGCTTCTTATCTAACTCTTCAGGGGCATCGTCCCATGGTATATCTCACGATGCATCAAGACACTCAGAAAATTAAATCCAAGAACCCCATGTGGTAGTGTATCCTTCTATACTCAGGAAGTGAAGGCAGGAAGATCCACAGTTCAAAGGCAGCCTGAGCTTCATAGTGAGACCCTGTTTCCAAATATCAACCAAACAATCATCAATCAATCAATCAATCAAACAGAACCAAATCCAAAATTTCAGAGTTTGAGATATGTGTCTCCAAATAGCTTGTTGTTATATATTTAGGGTATATTCTTGAAGGCCTTTAAAAGGAAGCCCCTAAGTAAAATTCACCCACTAATTTTACAAATCACATCCCCATGGAGTGCTTCAAGCTAATAACACATTAACTAACAAACAAATTAGCAACTATCACCACATAATGAAATAATAACATCTTAGTTTACAGAAAGAGTCCAATGGAATAAGGAAAATTTCCTGAAATAATTAGACAAAGAATATTTATACCTCAGAAAAGTATAAGTAAATAAACTGATAATTAAATACAAATGTCAAGTTACAAATATTTCATATTTTGTTTATGAAAAAAATCAAATAGTTGTTTCTTTGTTTTTGGTGCCATTCCTGGGGCTTGAACTTAAGCCCTGAGTGTTCTTCTTGAGCATTTGTGTTCAACCAGTTGAGCCACAGCTCTACTTCCAGCTTTTCTTTTTTTTTTTTTAATTGATCATGTTTTAATTATGGGCTAAAAATGTCTAAGACAGTAAGCCTGAATTAGAAAAATTAAGATTCCAAATACATTGCTAGAGAATTGCACAATGGAGGGATGAGGGAGTTAATGAAAATTTTTCTCTACATACAACATGATCATTAGCAAACTAGTAAATCTTAATTGGAATGATAAGGCAAAAATAGTAAAACCACACTTCTCCTATAAAAAAGTTACAGATTATCTTCTGGTAGGGAGAGCTATCATACATGAAAAAGAAAGAAGATGTGATCACTCTGTTGCACACCCAGGCGATCTAGGAAATTGAATCGTAGAATGATCTAGTCATCTTCTTCTTCTCCATCATCCTCAGCATCTCGTTTTCTCTTCTCTCCACGAAGGCCTTCTTCTTCTTCCTCCTCTTCTTCTCCTTCTTCAACATACTCATCATCATCTTCTTCATCCTGAATTTCTTCTTTCATTAAGTATGAAAGGCCCACTTCCTCTTCTCCTTCTCCCAATTCTGAATCTGCTTCATCTTCATCTTCCTCTTCTTCTTCCTCCTCCTCCTCCTCCTCATATCCTTCAAGTAGACCAGTTTCATCTTCATCTTCATCTTCATCCTCATCATCTTCCTCTTCTGAGTCTGGTGCTTCGTTATCCTCCTGATCAAATCCATCTAAGTATGTGATTTGCTGCAACAGCTCAAAAATACTTTCTCTGTAATCTTCCAGGTTTGTGATCTCACAGTTGAACAAGTCAAGACTTTTCAAATTTTTAAGATTTTGCAGAGCTTCCACAGTACTGAGGTCTTTGATTTTGTTTCCGCTCAGATTGAGGTAGGTAAGATTTGGACATTTCTCTGCCAGGACTTCCAAACCTCCAGAAATTATATTGTCACCAAGTTCCAACTTTCGAAGTTTATTCAAGCTAGGGAGCCGGGCCAGTGAACTTAATTTCACATTAGCCATACTCAGAAACTCTAGTTCTTTAAAAGTGTCATTTAGGCCTTCAATTTCCCCAGTGACACACAGGCAATTATCAAGGACTAACTCTGTTACCTCCTCCGGGGCTCTGTTCCGTAACTCCAGACTAATCCTCTTCTTCATCTCCATGTCCTCCTGCTTTTCTGCTGCTACTCTCCTCCTTCACCCCCTTTTCCACTACCCCCAACCCTAAAAAAATTATTTTTAAGATCTGGAAATGAATGAAAAGAAAAGCAAAATACAAATGCCCACAACCACCAAATAGATGTAGAGGAGAAAGAAAAGAATAGCAAATGGAGTCCAAGGAGTTAGGACTCTTAACTCGGCTGCCCCCACCTCCTTGTCCACACACCCGCGCGCGCACACACACGCACGCACGCACGCACACACACACCACACACACTCCCGCAGTTCCTTCCCCTTCAATGGCTGCTCCGAGACTCTACTTCCAGCTTTTCTATGTTAATTGGAGATAGGGTCTACAAACTTCCCTGTCTGGGCAGTCTTCAAACCACACTTCTCAAATATTGGCCTCTTGAGTAGCTAGGATTACAGGTGTGCGCCACTAAGCGCCTTTCCAGTTTCTATTTTTATATTGATATTTATTTATTTATTCATGTATTTGTTGGTTGTGGGGCCTGAACTCTGGGCTTGGGTGCTGTCCCTAAGCTCTTCAGCTCAAGGCTAGGAATCTACCACTTGAGCTACAGTGCCACTTCTGGCTTTTTCTGCTTATGTGGTACTGAGGAATTGAACCCAGGGCCTCATGTATGAAAGGCAAGCACTCTACCACTGAGCCAGCTTCCCAGCCCCTATTTTTATTTTCATTAAGGTGATGTACAGAAGTGTTACAGAAAGATAACGAGTACATTTTCCAGTTTCTTATTTTTAAAATGTACTCCATGTATTAAATATGGTACTCTAACCTAGTCTCTCTGACTAGGTTACAATCTAAGAATTTAAAGCATAAATGAACACTGACATCCCTCTAATCCTAACTATACCAATCATTCAGCTGAAGAATCATGGTCATTCTTTCCTATGGTCAGGTAGGACAAAACAGCCTGGATGACCCAAAGATGAATCCAGCAGACCTCTGAGGGCTACTGCGTATCATCAGAGTGGGGGGATGGCGGCTGAGCTCTGCAGTTGCTACAAGCCAACAACAAAAGCTGTATGCATCTTATCAGAAAAGAAAAATGGCAGTTAAGGTCACATAATGATCTAGAATATGCTTTCTTAAGAATCAACTTTGGTAGTTAAATATACAAATAAATCAACTATTTGACATCAAGCTTAGTGTCTCTTTAGTCACTCCTTGTCATCTCTGTAGCTTATTATTTTCACTTTATGTTTTCTGGCTTTTATTGGCTTTTCTTTTTGGGTACTGAGGATGGAACCCAAGATGTTGCACTTTCTAGGCAAGTGCTTTGCCATTGAGCTACATCCCAGCCCTCTCTTCATGTTTTCTATTTACTTAAATATATAAATCTATTAACATGAAGAAATGAGCAATTATCCGTAGCTAATAGCTGGAACGCTGAATAATTATTTATAATTCTCAAAAGTTAATGGAAAAAGCATATAAGCCAAAGTTACAAAGTAAAAAAATAACACATATGATCAATAAACATTTGAAAATATATCATCTTCTAGAAGCAAGGAAATAGAGATTAAAATGCTCCCACTTTGTCTTTAAAATCTACTGTGTATATATGCTGGTCTGTGGTTGTGGAGTTGATGTTGTCATTAAGAGTGGAGGCAATGACAAACTGGTAGCACTTGTCTGAAAGAAATATCATAATAGACATCAAGGAACTGAATAAATATTCAGAAATATTTGTTATAGTTATTAGTTTTTAATTTTTTTATTGTGAAAATACCATACAGAGGGGTTACAATTACATGGGCAAGGTAATGAGTACATTTCTTATCAAGCATTGTTGCCTCCTCCTTTGTTTCCCCTTCCCATCCCTTCCCATCTCCCACTCCCCTCCCTGCGCCAAAGTTGTAAAGTTCGTTTTTTGACATAACGTCTTGTACATCTCGTTGTTGCAATGGGTCCACCTGTGTTCCTATTTAAACAATTTGTTTTTATAAGTATAGTCGGGGGCCAGTGGCTCATGCCTATAATTCTAGATGCAAGAGACAGAGATCTGAGGATCACAATTTGAAGCCAGGCCAACCAGAAAAGTCTGTTAGAGTCTTATCTCAAATTAATCACCAAAAAGCTGGAAGTGGAGCTGTAGTTCAAGTGGTAGAGTGCTAGCCTTGACAAAAAAGCTCAGGGACAATGCCTAGGCCCTGAGTTCATATCCCAGGATTTGCATGTGTGTGCATGCGAGTGTGCACACACACACACATTACATATACACTATATATTACTAATTATAATAATAAGGAATTAAGCATTATGTATAACATAAAGGATGCTATATGGGGTTGTGTGATTTTTTAAAACTTAATTTTATTGTAAAGATGCTGTACAGAGGGGTTACAGTTATGTGAGTAAGGCAATGAGTACATTTTTTGGGCTGTGTGATTTTTAACTAAATATACAACAATTCAAGCAGAGGTTTAGGAAACATTTTAACAGGGGAAAATGGATAAAAAGAGAGCATGATATAAAAATATGCATGCATCCTAATTATCATTATGTAATACACACACATCTGAATGTATTTATCTAGAAAACTAGAATGAGCAAAAAAGCTCAAAGATAGTGCCCATGCCCAGAGTTCAAGCCCCCAGACTCACACATATATATACTCACATACATATATATATATTCATATATACTCACATACATATATATACTCCCCCCAAAAGATACTACATGCTAAGCATAACATAAAAATATTGATACATTGGAAAGTGCAACGTTAAGAATTTGTGGTTTAAAAAATTTTAATGATATAGATATAGAATGGAATCTACAGAAAAAATATATTTGGCAGTATACTCAACAAAGGCACATGGCCTAGAAAGTATAGAAACCTATAAATCAGTAAGAATAGGGAACAGTACATCAATAAGAAAAACTGTCAAAGAAAAAAATAGGCAAAGGATTGAATAGGCAACTCATGTGAGAGGATATCCGCATGATCCATAAGTATATTTTAAAATCTGCATAATGTTAGACTCATGTCATTAAATACATTGGGATGCCACAGTACACCTACCACTGTAGTTAAAATAAGTGAAAATATCTGAAACTAGGTTGAGTGACAGGATCCTTCAGACATTGCTGGTGGGATTATATATTATATCCCTTCTATCTTTAAAAGATTAAACAACTATGGTTGAATAGCTCCAAGGATTTGCCTAACTTTGGTGATATCATTATACCAAGTGAGGCCAAACATAGAAAAATACTTTGGTGAAAGTGTTATTTGCTTAAATAATGTAAAATCTGTCTCAACTGAATTATTGATAGTAGTAGAATTACATGTAGTAGTTGTGGCTCAAGCTTAGACATGGTTACAATCCATTTTACCATTTAAGTAAAGAGTGATATATCAGCGTTGTACCTTTCTTTTTTCCTCTGTCAGCTATTAGTTTAAGATAATAACGTTTTATTTTATATAGATTAAATGCTCACTCTTTTTTTGGGGGGGTTGGTCATGGGATTTGAACGCAGGGCCTGGATATCATCCTTGAACTCTTTTTGCTCAAGGCTGACACTTCCACTTTGAGCCACAATGCCACTCTAGTTGTCTGGTGGTAACTGCAGATAAGAGTTTCATGGACTTTCCTACCTGGGCTGGCTTTGAATGGCAATCCTCAGATCTCAGTCTCCGAAGTAGCTAGAATTATAGTGTGAGCCATTGGCACCCAGATGAACAATTTTAAATGATCTTTTTTTTTTTTTTTTTTTTTGGTCAATCCTGGGATTTGAATTCTGGGCCTGGGGACTGTCCCTGAGCTTCTTTTGCTCAAGGCTAGCACTCTGTCACTTGAGCCACAGTTCCACTTCCGGCTTTTTCTTGTATGTGGTACTAAGGACTCAAACCCAAGGCTTCATGCATGGTAGGCAAGTCTTCTACACTAAGCCATATTCCCAGCCCCTAAATAATCTTTTAACTGTTGTCACTATGATTCTTAATAGGTTAATTAGACAATTATATTTTTAAAAGTCATCTTTAGTTCATGACAATAGGCCAGCACAATTGTGTAACCCTTTTCAAGACCCATGTTTGTGTGCTCTTTCTTGTGTCCTTAGTTATGTCTTCACAGGCATGCTGCTTGATTTCAGGGTTATGAATTCCCATGTGCTGGGGTGGGGGTAGGTGTAACTGCAGGGCATAGGAAATCCTGGCCTTCTTTGGAATCTCAGCAAAGAACATGCTGGCCAAGTCATCTGTGTTCTTGGAACCACTGTACCAGATCTGACATTCCATTATTTGGTCTCTTCATCCATCAATAGCTGCAGTTGAAAATCTAAATTATGTCCTGGTTATGTAAGTTCCCTGGCATTTGCAGACTAAACATGAGTTTGATGGATGGAATACTTCACCATGGTGCCAAGGCCCTGGCTAGAAACGTTTCATATCTATTGGTTTTGGCTGCATATTAATGGGATCTGAAGCAGTTTCTTTTAAAATCTGTTTTTGAAATATCTAAGCAGGATACATTTCAGTAACTAAAAAGGCAAAGTTCTTTAGACTTTGTGTATCTGCTGGTCCTGGAGCTTGAACTCAGAGCTTGGACCATGCCCCTCAGATGTTTTGATCAAGGCTAGCACTCTACCACTTGAACCACAGCTCCACTTCAAGCTTCTCTTCCCTCCCTGGTCTTGCATGCTTAATTGGAGATAAGCATCTCAGGAATTTCCTTGCCCTGGCTAGCTTTAAAACTTCATTCTCAGATCTCAGTCACCTGAATAGTTAGGATTACAGTCATGAGCTACCAGCAATAGACTTTTATGTTATGTTTTCAGCAAGAAATTCAGTACCTTGGCATATTTTTTTTCCCAAAGATTAGGACCCTTAGATATTAAACACAATGGTAAATAGCTATACCCTATATTCCATGAGAAAATTTTATTTTTCAATGTTTTGTTCAGTTATCCTCTTATTATATACTCTTTTAGTAACCTCCTTTGTGTTTCTTAGCACTTTATTAATTTGACAAATTATCTGTATCAAATTTTAGATTTTTGTCTTGTCACTAACCATAATTCTAAGAGAAAGTAACTATGTGAGACTGTTCGTTTTATCCTAAGAGCACACAATAGTACTTGCACATAGTATAGAGCCAATAAATAGTTTCCCTTTCAATATTTATAGTCCCCTGTGCAGAAGACACAAAGGTGAATGAAAACTGCACCTGTCCTCAAGGACCTCCTATTGCAATGAAGAAAACTAATCCCATGCACACGCACATGCGCGTGCGCGCGCGCACACACACACACACACACACACACGCTTGTTTGCA